CTAACTCTGCTAGATAACATTGATAGATGTATTTTATTATATGCATTTAGCTTTGCATCTTTTGGGTCAAAACCACCAGTTGAGAGCCACTGCATTGTGATCTGCTTCAAATAAGCATTTAATTGCAAAGGGAGCACGATTAAACTGAACAGTTAACAGCAAATATGTTCACTCCATTACACAAGAGTGCACACTAGTGGAAGAACAACAGAGCGCTGCAATACTCAATGTAAAATATAGTAGAATTAGTAGAATACTAAAATGAAACGTTTGCATGACTGTTACATACATATAGTGTTTTATTGATGGGCAAAGTTGTGGATTATTTGCATAATTGGCATGTTTCACAGCGATGACTGTGAATGTGACCTTTTGACCCCTGTGGGTCACATGTCCGGTGGACTGCTTGTATCAGTGTATTTCATGGCATGCAGAGGAACATTACATGCATGCCAGATTTAACCATCCGTTATGTTTTATACTGCATGTCGGGGGTAATAAACAACATTTGTACATGTATATTCCATGGCACACATCGCATTGAGTTCCTCAGTCGTTTATCTCAGTCAGCGTGTAACAGCAGAAATGCACTTTTTACACTTTAATTATTTAAAAGAGTCGAACTAAAACAAGTCGCAGTGATCTAAACACATCATTGCTTCTTCTCTTTGAGCCTTTCTTGGACCTTCTGGGGCTCGTCGAACTGAATCAGCCGCAGAATGTTCTTATTGCCCATCACGCCTTGAATGAACTCTCCCTCGGTTATCTTACCTGACGACAGAAACACATGCATTCTTCAAAGCTCAATAAAGGGTATTCTGTTAAAGTCCCCCTGTGGTGAAATCAAGCTTTTAATGTTGTTTATGTGTGTTTATAATACGCTTTAAGACACACCATGTGTAAGTTCATAAGTCGACAGCATTGCTGAGTATTTCCTCCTTAAAACTGCAGTGAACCAAAGACAGTCTCAAAAACACGGTTTGAAATCGCTGGTGTTTCTGACGTCACAAACGACCTTGTAACCAATCAGATCAACGTGTGATCGTCAACCAGTGGATCTCTGAGCTGAGGGAGTGAGTGGAGGCGGGGTCATTTGCATATTCATAGAGCCGTGCATACTAAATGAGGCAAGGGTGTCGAGTTACATTCAAGGCATGAAGATTTTTGTCAAGGAAAAAACTTTAAATATGTCATTTTGGTGATCAAAGATGATTTTTAAGAGATAAAAGTATTGACTACAGGGGGACTTTAAATGCCATATTCTATAAGTCATCTAAGACATTAACATGTGCAAATAGTCACTTACCATTTTCTTTTTTCCCAAAAAAGTCCCAAATTTTATCAGTTCGTTTCTCCGGGGTGTTCTCGTCGTCCGGGAGGGTTTTCTGGTCTTCTTTGGAGATCATGTTGAATATTGACTGCAAAGAGGAGCAACGGTTCTCAAAGTTATGAACAAACGTTCTTCAGTAACATTAATAGAACAAACGTTCAACGTCATCTGGTCTTTAATAATGATCTCAGAACGTTAGCACAAAAACATGAGTTTCTGAAATGTTTTAGTTGAATGTTTTTTTTTTTAAATTTACTACTTGTTTTGGAACGTTCAGATTTAAAAGTAACTCTCATAATGTTTGCAAAATGGAATGTTTCTACACTGTAAAAAATGAATCATAAAAAAATTAAGGGGATGATTAACAATATTGTGTATACTTTATTAAGAAAATTGTGGTTCAGGAGAACATTTCACTAATAAAACCAAGAGATACAATTTCCATTTTTTTTAAAGGAAAAGCTTGAATTGAGGAACCGATTAAGCTGATAAAATTAAGGAAAAAAAGATATTATTTAGCGTTTTTATTTACAGACACCATTGTTGAAGTTTTGATTGTTACCGTTGTGCAGAAGAGTAGAGCTTATGATTAGGTTGTGAATACTAATATTATGAAGCATTCTGCTTTGATTGAGCAATAACTGTGCTAAGGTCAGTGCGTAACACGTTTATTTCTACAGCGTAGAGTCTGTTAAACTCAATAGAACTCAAAGTCATTTTCATTCACTCCTAACCAAATACTTTTGAGAGTCAACTTAAATTAAAATAAAAAAAGCTAATTTCACTAAAAATATTAAATTAATTGTGTCATAGACTAAAATAATGTAGGGGATTTTACATGATTTATTCAGGTAGATTCCATTAAAGAAATAAAGCCTTAAAAACTACAAAAAAATATGTGTATAATATTGTTACCATCATTTTTAAAGTAATCGCACATAACATTTTTTTACAGTGTAAGAAAAAACTGGATGTTCAGAAGTAATATTTTCAAAACTTTCTTAGTTCGCCGAGACATTGGAGTCTGTGAATAAATCTGAGCTGGTGTTCATTCACCTTCACTATTTCATGAATCTCGTTTTTGGTGATGCTGCCGTTCCGGTCCACGTCGTACAGAGCGAAGGCCCACTCCAGCTTCTCCACGGTCTTCCCCGAGGACGTCAGGTGCAGGGCCACGATGTACTCTTTAAAGGGACATATCATGAAAATCTGCCTTTCTCCGTGTGTAAGTGCCGGTAATCCACCGGAGTAAAGATAGTTTGCAGTTTGATTTTCAGTTTTCGTTTCGCTGTGGCCCCGCAGTGCGGTGTCGTGGACATGCAAATAATATCTCATGTCGTTATTCGTGATTTGTGAATTTGTGTAACGGTGTTTCTCCGGGTCAAAATCTTTTTTTTTTTTCTTTTTTTTTTTTTTAATTGGGTACAGCTCCAAAAGTCGGTCACTTAGGAGTCTGAACCCAGTGTCACCTCGACATGCTCGATTTGTGAATTTTTTCACAGCAAAGCTTGTCTGTAAAACGTTCGCTAAGTCCGGTTGACAGGAATGTGGAAAATAGGCGTTTTTCATGTTTAAACAATGGATATTAACAACTTATAATAAACACACACTGCTGGATTACAAAAACACTTTTTTTAGATTGAACCTGATTTGTGAAAACTTACACAGATCAGTTTGGGTCAGTTAACCCTTCCCTGAGTGGTTAACTAGGTCATTCTGATTTGTGAAAACTTTCACAGATCAGTTTGGGTCATTATTGAAGGTGACGTGACTTTTAATCTAGTCGGTTTCCCTACACTATCGAAAAACGTATACATTTGCATAAATTTAATGTTTTGCAGTAAATGTAAAATATGCTTATTTTTAAGCTTAAATAAATGCCTGTAAATCGCTCATTTTATATTGTGTTTGCTTATTTGGTGGCGTTGTTTGCAATGCCTCATGAATGAGTAGCTAACAGACCTTATGCGCCATCTTTGATTTTTAACAGGAATGAAATCATTCAGATTAGATCCGATCAGATTTCGCTCCTTCTGCCGTATGAAGAGGATGTTATTATAATATTCCCGGCCCTTAATCTGCACGTTCACACACACCAGCGACATTGGGTTCGGCGAGCGCCAACAGAGACCAGTTCTAACGCACTGGAGAAGATCCAGCAAAGCCTGAAACTGTTCTGTGGTCGAGCACAGACGACACTGAACACTATTGACCAGAACATGTCACCGCTGTCTTATAAACACCTCAGGAACTGTGGACACTTGTGGAAGAGTTCAACATGATGAGGAGATGATCAGTGTAACTCCACAACAACTACAGAAACATCTCCGCTAACATTCAGAAACGTGTAAAAGTGAAGCTCTCCCTGAGTCTCTCCGTAAGGCTGCACTCGCTGCTGTTACTCCTGACTCTGGATCAGTGAGATCGGCCTGTGTTGTTATTGCCGGAGTCTCTGAAGCTCGTGTGAAGGCTCCGCCCTCTTCTGAACGGAGGCGGAGCTAAAGCTCGTTCGCATTTAAAGGGACACACACAAAAACGGGGAGTTTTGTTTTAAAAAGGGCAAATTTGACAAGCTAGTCAAGTCACCTTCATTTATTGCTTTAACAATGTAGACTATTTCACAGCAGCTTTACAGAGATAACAGGAGATTACAGTAACAGAGTGTTTAGGCTTTACAGCAGCTCTAGAATAAAGTTATTGTCCAGCTAAAGTTAGTTTTGATTGATTCACTTCCGTTCCAAAGATCATTAGTTATTAAGTTAGTGGCCGCTAACACGACACCGCTCCAACAGAAGACCCGTAACGCTGCTGATGACTCGAGAACGCAAACCCTGAAACCGGTTCCAAGGTGCAAGCGTAGGAAAAACATTATCATCGCACAAACCTCAAAAACGCGAATCTGTACATATATACAACTAAGCTATAGCCTAATAAATGATCTGGTATTTTGAGCTGAAATTTCACACACACATATTCCAGGGACACTATAGATTTCTATTACATCTTGTGAAGAGGCATAACATGTCAACGCACCTTTAAAGTCCAGCGTCCCGTCGCTGTCGGAGTCGAAGCTCCGGAAGACGTGTTGCGCGTAGGCTTTGGGGTCGGCGTCGGGGAAGAAGCTCGCGTAGATGCTCTCGAACTGCTCTCGGCTGATGCGCCCCGTCGGACACTCGTTCAGGAACTTCTGGTACCAGACGTAGAGCTGCTCCTCGCTGTACTTGGTGTTCATCTTCAGCTCCTCCAGGAGATCTCTGGACAGGGCTCCACTTTTAGCATTGCCCATCTTCCCAATTACTTTCCAGTGTGGAGGATCTGCTATTTAAACCCAGCGGAGGATTAGCGAGGATGAAGCCGTGATTATGATTATTGTGATTATGGCTGATTTGATAGTGAGAGATTTCCAGGAATATATCAGACTTATGTCTCAGCAGGAAACCTCTTGATCTTATTTGATGCATTCGGATTAAATCACAATATGCTGTTGCTAAACACATTTTCTGTGGTACAACAGAGAGGAGTGATGCCTGCATATGTAACTTCATGCAAATGTGTGGGATTAGAAGTTAGAGACTGATCAAAATTGAGAGGCAATACCAATTATTTTTGTTTATTTGTTCAAGAAACAATATTCAATCATTATTTATGTTTTATTGCACAATGGCAACTATGTTAATGATAAAATATATATATATATCACTTATTATAATACACTTGTTATAATACAAATGTTAAAATATTTACAATTTTAAGATATATTTTGTTTCATTGCTTGAGCAACATTAATGCTTTATTGCACCATGGTAACTAATATATTTTAATAATAATTATATATATAGGCCTATATATACAGTATATAATGACATAAAAAATGTAATGTAAATGTGTGTATATGTAGGCTATATATATAAATATAAACATTACTTTTATATGTTTTAACTCATGCTTATATATATATATATATATATATATATATATATATACACATACACTCACCTAAAGAATTATTAGGAACACCTGTTCAATTTCTCATTAATGCAATTATCTATTCAACCAATCACATGGCAGTTGCTTCAATGCATTTAGGGGTGTGGTCCTGGTCAAGACAATCTCCTGAACTCCAAACTGAATGTCAGAATGGGAAAGAAAGGTGATTTAAGCCATTTTGAGCGTGGCATGGTTGTTGGTGCCAGACGGGCCGGTCTGAGTATTTCACAATCTGCTCAGTTACTGGGATTTTCACGCACAACCATTTCTAGGGTTTACAAAGAATGGTGTGAAAAGGAAAAAACATCCAGTATGCGGCGAAAATGCCTTGTTGATGCTAGAGGTCAGAGGAGAATGGGCCGACTGATTCAAGCTGATAGAAGAGCAACTTTGACTGAAATAACCACTCGTTACAACCGAGGTATGCAGCAAAGCATTTGTGAAGCCACAACACGCACAACCTTGAGGCGGATGGGCTACAACAGCAGAAGACCCCACCGGGTACCACTCATCTCCACTACAAATAGGAAAAAGAGGCTACAATTTGCAAGAGCTCACCAAAATTGGACAGTTGAAGACTGGAGAAATGTTGCCTGGTCTGATGAGTCTCGATTTCTGTTAAAAACATTCAGATGGTAGAGTCAGAATTTGGCGTAAACAGAATGAGAACATGGATCCATCATGCCTTGTTACCACTGTGCAGGCTGGTGGTGGTGGTGTAATGGTGTGGGGGATGTTTTCTTGGCACACTTTAGGCCCCTTAGTGCCAATTGGGCATCGTTTAAATGCCACGGCCTACCTGAGCATTGTTTCTGACCATGTCCATCCCTTTATGGCCACCATGTCCCCATCCTCTGATGGCTACTTCCAGCAGGATAATGCACCATGTCACAAAGCTCAAATCATTTCAAATTGGTTTCTTGAACATGACAATGAGTTCACTGTACTAAAATGGCCCCACAGTCACCAGATCTCAACCCAATAGAGCATCTTTGGGATGTGGTGGAACGGGAGCTTCGTGCCCTGGATGTGCATCCCACAAATCTCCATCAACTGCAAGATGCTATCCTATCAATATGGGCCAACATTTCTAAAGAATGCTTTCAGCACCTTGTTGAATCAATGCCACGTAGAATTAAGGCAGTTCTGAAGGCGAAAGGGGGTCAAACACAGTATTAGTGTGGTGTTCCTAATAATCCTTTAGGTGAGTGTATATACTGTATACTACATGTATTAATATTATACATACACACACACATATAAACATTTGTTAACATATTAAATTAATATTTTATATATATATATATATATACACAGACACACATTTATATATTATAAATCACATTTAATGTTATTTATAATAGATGAATGTATGCGTGTATAGCCTATATATAATATTACTTTAATATATTAACAAATGTTATACATGTAAATGTTATATATATATATATATATATAAATGTGTGTTATGTAATATGGAATAATATGACATTTGTCCAGATGTGAGAAGACACGTGATGATCATGAGGAAAGTGCTGATGTCACACTGTAATCGATTAGCGCAGATGAAAGGCGGCTCGACTAAGCCACGCCCCCACTGACCATGGAACTGTCTGATATTGATCAGAGCATCTGTGACTTATAAAGCTCGTTGGACTGTAAACACAGACTTATAAAGCTCGCTGAGACTTATAAAGCTCGCCGGACAGTAAACACGGAGAGGTTTCTGAGAGGAACATGTCGGAGCGCGTCGGCTTCATCACTCGCGTGCAGAGCTTCTGCGCGAGCCATCGCTTACACAGGTACAGCTCTCTATCATACCTCATCTACCAAACACATCAGAATAATAATACAATTATACTCTCTTCAAACAATGCTTCGCCTTCTGGATTCCATTCCAACAACAACCAGTCTGAAAATTGTGAATAAGCTGAAACCATAGACTGTAAAAAAAGGCTGAAACTACTTGTTGCAGGAAGTCAGCAGTAAAAATGCTGCGTCATCACGAGGGAATTATGGGAATTGCAGTTTAAAACATCCAGATGCTTTATTAGGATGTAAACAAGACTTAATTGGCTTAGTTCGTTTAATTTGGAGCTTCATCCCACATCAGCTCTTTAATCAAATATGTGGCCTACCATTTCTGTTATCATGTGACTATAATATTTCTAAAATCCCTCTCATATTTCACCTCTCGCTTGGAAAATTTGCAACTCTCACAATTTCTCTCCTCGCGCCTCCTTCATTAATAACGCCATAACTAATAAATCTTTCAGTCACTGGTTTAACAGAGACATTCATCATTTTATGAAATTGTTTGACACTCATGGAATCTTTTGACTTATTATGAACAATTCATGCTTAATCTCAATTATCACATCATTTCCGACTGATAACAATAAATATATTCATTATATTATATATTAATCACAATTTCCCCGTATTTAATCCAGTCATCAAAGCTGTTCCTCTAACCCTTATTCAGCTTGTTAAAGTTATATTTGCTATAACTCTCCAACAGTGACTAAACCTAAATTAATATTAGACTGTGTTGAATTAACTGAGGACAAAATGCAATAACAAATATATATATATGCTTCTAAAACAAAATAAAAATATCTCTGAGAGGGATTGTGTTGGAGCTGTAACTGATTATATTATCTGGAAGAGATGCTTGCATAATCTCCTTTAATATTGTATTAATAATAAAGTAAAAGTAGCCTACACTTTCTTCTTAAATCTTTAATTTCGAGATATTCTGATATTGATGATTTCTGTTGCTTTAGTGGAAGTGAGGAAGAGAAGTTCACTCGCTTGTTTGTTTTTATGTAGAGTTTTCAATAGATTTTGGATAAAACTGGAATAAATGATCTTTAAATTAGTGAAAGTTAAAAACTGTCTTACGTTAAAATGTTGTTTTCTTTTATGAGAACACAAGTAACAAAGACCCAGAAATCATTGTTTAATCTTTATATTTTAATGGCATGATTTTCTTTAGGCGTTTTCTATTGTTATGTGTCTTCATTAAGATCAATATCTATATATAAAATATTATGACCGAATCTCTAATGTAATATCATCATATATATATAATATTTTATTGCGCTGTGTTTGGTTCTGTATGCAAATAATAATAATAAAAATAACAGTGTAAAACGTCCGGCCTAAACCTTGATTTTACCAATAAATGTCTTCAACATCGGCCTATTTTAAGTCATTGTCAAACGTATTTATTTATTATTATTGTTTGTTTGTTTTTTGTTTTGTTTTTTTTAGCAAATCTTTAAGTGATGAGGAGAATAAAATAATATTTGGGAAATGCAACAATCCTAATGGCCATGGTCATAACTATAAAGGTGAGCCGTTATACAAGCATAAATTATGAGCACATTAGAAATTAATATATCATACATTTTTCATGCATGCACACAAGTAAATATGTTCATGATATTTGTGTTTTCTAGTTGAAGTGACGGTGCGAGGAAAGGTATGGAGTAACCAGCTCACATTTTAATATCTGTGTATCGTGAACTGTAATGATTTGTGAGTGTGTGTGTGTGTGTGTGTGTGTGTGTGTGTGTGTGTGTGTGTGTGTGTGTGTGTGTAATAACGCTCGTGTGTTTTATAGATCGACAGAAACACAGGCATGGTGATGAATCTGACGGACCTGAAGGAGTGTATCGAGGTCACACTCTTTACACACATTCACAATTATCTGTACAGCGCTTTTCACAACACACACACACATCGTTCCAAAGCAGCTTTACAGAAAAGTCCACATTACAGTTTACAGTGATCTGTTATCAGAGGAGACCGTCTGAGTTATGCATGTCAGAAATATACATTTACAAAATCACAGTTAGCAAAAAAATTATTAATTTAAACAATGTAATAATTTAAGGCCGAAGCAATGAGCTCATTGAAGTAATGAATACTTGACATTTTGAAAAATGTAGCATTGATAAATAAGAATAGTTGTATAAAAGTTATTATATATTAAAGTTAATATATACATTTTGTGTTCATTCAGGACAAATATGACATTTTTATCCCAGTCATTGCAAAGACAAAAGTCTCTCATATTTACCCGAATCTACAGTTTATGATTTTTGCTTGTGAATTCTTTTAGCCGTTCTACAATGATTGAAATAGTCAAATAAACACAACACATGATAAATGGCAAACAGAAGGTGTGAGCACTCGTACAACCACTAAATATGCAACGTTGTTAATAAGTTATATTTTATAGTTATATATATATATATATATCTTTTCTTTTTCTTTTAACTATTTATTAATTTTGAATTATATTGCTATATGCTCTGTAGCACTTTGAGATTGCTTTAATGTAAAGTGCAATACAAATAAAATGTATTAGTATTATTCTATTTTTAGGAGGTCATCATGAAACCTCTTGACCATAAGAACCTGGACCGGGACGTTCCTTACTTTGCTGATGTGGTCAGGTACGACTGAGGCTTTTCGCCACATATCAGTCATGATACACTCATTATAATGACGTGTGTGTGTGTGTGTGTGTGTTCATGCAGCACTACAGAAAACCTGTCCGTGTTTATATGGGACGGCATGGCGAAGCTTCTCCCGCCGGACAGCCTGTACGAGATCAAGGTGTACGAGACCGAGAAGAACATCGTGGTGTACAGAGGAGGATAGAGACGTGATCTCAGAGCCGCAGAACGCATATTAATAAGCGGGAGCGACTCCTGCGGCGCTGCACCCAGAACAGCAGATTACTGTAAGACACAGACTGAGGATCAGCGGGGAGAGTGATCCTATTACACACTGAGAGATTACACACACACACATGCACACTCGCACACACACACACACACAGCACCCCGTCTTTTAGATTTCTCAAAGCCTTTTTTAACAAAAGCAAGCTTGTTTGTATTTTCAAAGTATTTGTACTAATGAATAATGAAAATGTTTCAATGATATAACACTTTTGTAGGCTACTTAAATCTGTTGGCATTTTAATGTTGTGTGTTTGCTATGCTAAAACTCGTTTTTCAATGCACTAGCTGAGAAAATGTGTTTTAGTTCATCTGTCCTTCCAGTAGGTGGCGCTACAAGCGTATCAGATCGCATCAATAAAGTTGAAATATTAAGATCTCATGTAATCGTGGAAAAGTTGATATAGATGTTCACATGTGGTTGTTCTGGATGTTTGTCTGTGCATTGAACACTAAACCAGCAGTGATTTATGCTAATATGTTAATCTGGAGAAATGCTTGGCCCTCATCACAATACAATAATAAAAGAGATATACAGTATTGAGGATCATCAGTGATTTACATGCACTCGTCAAACACACGGACGGCAGCGAGGACACTTGATCTTTCATATTCCTCCTGTAAATGCAATATTATGCTGGTCTTGTCATGCGTTTAGTTTTCCGAGGTGATCTGAGAAGGAGAGAAACGCTGGCATGAACACGTGTGTGTGTTTGGACAGAATGTCTAGTGAAGTTTATGCCGAAATGTTTAATATCTCTTCCGTCAGATCATCAGCTTTCTGCAGGAGAACAAGAGTAAAACTGTCATTCCTGAAATGCTTCACTGAAGATAGAGTATGCAGAGCTTTATTGAGAGATTAGGCATTATTTCATCTCATGTTTCTAAAGGTAAAATGTTTATTTAATGAATGGAACATGTGCAGGTGCGAGTGTTTGAGTCTTTTGGGGAGGATAAAATATCAAGTGACATTAGTAATGATGGGAAAATGCAATTAAACCGTATAAAATACCTAAAAGTGACAGTTGTATCAAAAGCATGTCAACATCCAGGCTAACAAACATTTGTTCGAAGAACGTTATGAAAATGTTATTTCTGAATATCCAGCTTTTTAAATGTTTTAAAAACGTTTTTTCTTGGTTATGTGACGTTAAGGGAACATTCCATTCCATCTTCAAACATTATGGAACGCTATTTTGAATGTTTTCTAAACGCTCAACAATTAAAAAACATTAGACAAACGTCCAACTTAAAAGTTTCAGGGGGGAAAACGTTCCATGAACGATGTATAAATAATGTTTTTGTGCTAATGCTTTGAGAACATTAATAAAGAGCAGATAACTTTGAATGAACGCTCTATTAACATTACTGAGAGATCGTTTGTTTATAACTTTAAGGGGACGTTTATGGTTACTCACGTACCGCGATAACGGGAACGCGCTTTGCGTCAGCGCTGCGTTTCCCAGCATCGTTAGCCAAAAGTGAGCCGCGCCGAACCGAACCGAACCGAACCGTACCGTAGGCTACTATGCAGTGGAAAAGTGCAACAAGTTCCGTCGTTATCAGCAGTTCAACGAGTCGGTGTTTCCCGAAACCATCGTTCCAACGAACATTCACAAACAGCATCGCAGAGGTGTGTGTGTGTGTGTGTTTGAGCGACAGATCTGTGGCTAGAAGCATTTCTTGTTTGCTTGACATGTGAACTTAATAACTCCTTATCTTGAGCAAAATAAGCAAGCTGACATTCAGAACAATCTGTGTCTTTTATTTAGAATACATACAAATGTCAATTACATCTTTGAGTTTGTCAAGAGATTTTAAGCACCGTTTTTGAAGAGTGCGCATGTGCGAACTTGCTCCACTTTATTCGAACGATTGAATCTGGAAATAAAGCGAAATAACTGAGAAAAATTAGAAATATTCCTCATGTTTGTAATTTATATAAAAAACATCATCTAGCATTAATTCGAATAACAGTTTCATCAAAATAAGTTATTACTCAGTCTCCACCACGTGCGTGACGTCATAAACCAACATGGTTGAACGACCACTTTGCGACAATATGGTTTCGGGAAACAGCATAGACAGTAACGGAAAAAAGTGAAGTCAATTAGAAGTATAGACAGTATAAGAAGTGGACAGAGCATCTCATTGGAACTCAGTTGAGACAGTTGAAGCCCATTTTTAGCGATTTTTGAGCACTTCCGTTCCTGACGCGCAGACTCAAACGGACTCAAACTAAGCTTGATGACGTGAGCAACCTGTCTGACAGACGTTAATCTTCTAGTAGCTGTGCGTGAAAATTGCCAACGTTAATCTTGCAGAGACGGGGAACTTGAGCAAAGAGTCCTTTATCGTGAGTGAGCAGGAGTAAGTATTCCGTTGCTTTTATGGACTCATTATCTATGGGCTTCTCCCTTGACGGGACGTCCCCCCGATCGCCTGCGAGCTTCTCCTCCTGTCTGTACCAAGGGGGTAATCCATCGACCGGAAGTTGAAGCCGGCCGGGTGCCGCCATGTTGTAGCAGAACTTCACTTGCGTTAGCATTTCCATTGACTTTCATTCATTTTGGCGTCACTTTGACAGCGAATAACTTTACATCTGAGGCGTTTAAAGACTCCATTTGTCCATTATTTATTTCTAAAGAAACACGACAATGTATAAAGGGCTCCATTACCTTCTATGTTACATTATGGCCCCGTAGAAACAGATTTAGTAAAAATAGGCTAACGATTGCGTCATAACCACTCGACTCTCTGTCGCGCTGTACAGAAATGACCGTACAGACAGGAGGAGAAGCTCGCAGGCAATCGGGGGGACGTCCCGTCAAGGGAGAAGCCCATAGATAATGAGTCCATAAAAGCAACGGAATACTTACTCCTGCTCACTCACGCCAAATAACTCTTTGCTCAAGTTCCCCGTCTCTGCCAGATTAACGTTGGCAGTTTTCACGCACAGCTACTAGAAGATTAACGTCTGTCAGACAGGTTGCTCACGTCATCAAGCTTAGTTTGAGTCGGTCTGAGTCTGCGCGTCAGGAACGGAAGTTCTCAAAAATCGCTAAAAGTGGGCTTCAACTGTCTCAACTAAGTTCCAATGAGATCGCTCTGTCCATTTCTTTTACTGTCTATGGTCTGTACGGTCATTTCTGTACAGCGTGACAGAGAGTCGAGTGGTTATGACGCAATCGTTAGCCTATTTTTACTAAAACTGTTTCTACGGGGCCATAATGTAACATAGAAGGTGATGGAGCCCTTTATACATTGTCGTGTTTCTTTAGAAATAAATAATGGACAAATGGAGTCTTTAAACGCCTCAGATGTAAAGTTATTCGCTGTCAAAGTGACGCCAAAATGAATGGTAGTCAATGGAAATGCTAACGCAAGTGAAGTTCTGCTACAAGATGGCGGTACCCGGCCGGCTTCAACTTCCGGTCGATGGATTACCCCCTTGATTAGAAGCACTCACTTCCTGATTGCCAAGCGCACTGCGCAGGCTCAAACTCATAGATATAACACTAGATGTCGCCTTGGGGTTCTAAACATGCGTCAAAACCGCCGCCATCTTGGAACAGGGGTCTTGTCATAGGAATTAGCTAGGTAACGCTGAATTCATGGATGATGCCGGACTTTTGTGCTGCGTATGGATGTTTACACTAACGAAATCTAAAAACCAGACAGCAAGGGATTACATTTCACAAGATTGTGAAATTTTGTAACTTTTTTAAAATTTCTCTGGGCTCTATAATAAATACATGTCTGACCGTTGGAACGAACCAAAACAACTAGAAAATCGCATTCATGACGATTTATGGTGATTTTATTTCCGTTAGACCTTTCCCTACATTGACGCTGATGAGAGGTTCCTCTGTTTCAAGATGGCGGCTCTATTGACGCATTCGTTCCAATGAACTGCCGTAGCCAAGGCGACATCTAGTGTTTATATCTATGGCTCAAACTGAGCTTGACGACGTAGATGTGACGTGAGCAGCCTGTCTGACAGCTGTAGCGGTGCCAAGAGGAATCTGAATCATTCCCTTCCGAATCTCACAGAGCCGGAGAGCGTGAGTATTAGCTGTCCATGAGCAGCAGGAGCAACTTTACAACTCTCTATGGCTTCTTCTTGACTTTATGCCTCCACGTCCCCCGATTGCCCCGAGCTTCTCCTCCTGTCTTTACGGCAATTTCTCTACTGTGCGACAGAGCGTCCCGTGGTTATGACGCAATCGTTAGCCTATTTTTACAAAAACTGTTTCTACGGGGCCATTACGTAAGATACGGTAATAGAGCCTTTTATACATTGTCGTGTTTCTATAGAAATAAACAATGGACAAATGGAGTCTTTAAACGCCTCAGATGTAAAGCTTTTCGCTGTCAAAGGCCCCATTTTACACTGCATGGTTCAAGTGACCCAAATCCGATTTTTTCCTCTCATGTGGCACAGATCGGATATGACCGGTGAACGTGTAAGCAGGAATAAACCTCATGATTCCGATTTTCTCAGATCGGATTCAGGCCTCACTCATATGTGGTAATAAATCGGATATGAATCGGATACGTGCATTTGCGTGTGCCATGTAAGCAGACAAATCGGATATTCCCCAGTAAATGCGAGTCGTACGTCATTAAAAAAGTGACGTCAACTCAGGTGGACACCACCAACTGAGATCACATGACTTATTATAGGCGCGATGGAGGACGAAGGATACACACAGTGGAGCAATGCGGAGGTTTCATGTGTTTTGAGTGTTTGGGGCGAAGAGCAAAAATGCAGGGTTGTTACAGGAATAAATCCGTGTTTCACGAGATATGGGGAGGCACGGGTTTAAGCGCTCGCGGCTACAGTGCCACCGTAAGATTAAAAGCTTAATGACTTTTAAAAATATTGTGGAAAGCAAAACACTGGATAATTTTATTCGCATCTGCATC